GGCTTCCGTGTCTTTTATAATCCAGGGCTCCAGAAGAGCAGCCTCGGAAACGGTCTGGGTGCCCGGGGACTGGCCATTACTGGAACTGTCCCCTTCTCAGGCAGCCAAAACCCTGAGCACGTGGATGGGCCCCAAGGAGGAGAGGACTGAGGGAGGGGGTGGAGGGACGGGGATCGGGACGGGGAGCTCCGGCTGACTTGGAGTTTGGCCTCTGTGGTGACATGAGGACATCACCGAGTTCAGCACACTACGGGCAGTCAGGGCGCTGGATGCTTAGAACCTCCACCTGTTTCTTGTTCTCAGGTGACCTCAGGTAAGTCACCTGGCCTTTCTGAGCCTGTGACAGACACGCACACCAGCAGCTGATTCCTAAGGTTGCTCTGAGGGGAAAATGAGGCAGAGCAGTGACCCTGAGGTCAGCCCTCCCTCCTCCCTTCCCAGTATCAGAATCCAGGGCTTGCTGGCCCCCGCTGGACCTGGGTGTGTCCAGGCCTTTCCACCCCTGACGAGGGGGGAGGGACACTCAGAGCCACTCGGGGTGACAATGGGCTCCCTGAGCCACTCGACTCACAGGGGTAGACAGGCCTCTCGACAGGAGCAGAGCGGCCACTCGGCCAGCCTCCCTCCTTCATGACTGGCGCAAGAGGCGTCCCTGTTCCCACATGTGATCAGAGCCAGTTGTCCTCTGATTGGACCCGGCTGACAAGTTCCTGTTCCAGGTGTAGATGTGCCCAGTGCTCAGAGGTGACCCTTTGAAAAGAAAGGCCCTTGGGACATGCGTCCAGACTCCGGCCCTCGCCCTCCGGCCCCACAAACACCGTCACCTCCCACAGCCACTCTCCCCTCCTTGGCAACAGGGACGGTACATGCAGGGACCCGGTTCCCCAGCTCTGTGACCGTGTCCTGATGGAGACACAGAGGGCTTCCGCCTCCCGGCCTGGGCCTGTCCCCGCTGCAGGCTTGAGCCCAGGTGAGCCTCGCTTAGGTCCCTGGTGGAAACAGACCAACCGCCTTGTCAGCCACTCAGGAAGCGCCCCGGCCCCAGCGCAACGCCCCACCCTGCTGCAGACACACCAGGCGGACACACCAGGCGGACACACCAGGCGGACACCGTCCACTGTCCCTCAGTGGATGCTTCGGGCTGGCCGCCTGGCATTTGGAGAGCCCAGGTGGAGCAGGACGTGGGGGTAAGCACAGCAGAGAGGCGGCATCGAGGGTCAGGGAGGGCGGCACCTGCCACCCGGCGGCCTGCAAGGAGCCATGGGGTGTGTGGAGGCAGGGGCAGTCACAGAGGTGTCAAAGTGGGGACAGGGACAGTGACGTGGGCAGTCAGAAGATGGGGCTCGGGATGGGGGTCTGCAGGAGGGCCAAGGCGGGCTGCTGGTTATCTCCGCCCTGCTGGGGGCTGGGAAAGGCCCGTGAATTCCCTCTCTGTGCCTCTCCCCGGGTTATTAACTCTCTGGGGTGAAATGTGATTTGCTGGGTTTCGATTTTTCCTCATGAAGCAGAAATGGGAAAGGAGGAGGAGGAGCACTCCTTCGGCCTCTGCTCAGAGTC